TTCCAAATGAGAAAGAAATCAGAGTGGCTGCCCGAACTGAGAAGCAGTTGGATGATCCAGCATATAGAACAATACCTTTCAAGGGTGATGGTGTACAGGTGCAAAATCCAGCAAACCTTCCTTTTCAGCCACCTGGTTTGCAATGGAATGGGAATGAAGCAATCACCTCTAGGCAGTTGTTACAGAAGATGCAATTCAGGAGGGGGGCTTCCATTGCAAAGTGAACACATTTAACAAAGACTGAAGCTACTTTTGGGCATATATCTTCTATTAGAACACTTTTCGGCATTTAGACTATTATTTTGAAGCTGTCATTTTTTGTATATGTGCATTGGCAGCATGAAGTATTACTACTTCTATTACCTTTTTGTATGAAGTATTACTAATTCTGACACTCTAAACAACCTTTGTTCTATTTTTGGAGTGCTAAATTAGGGGTTATATTGGTTATGAATTTTGTAAACTCATTAAGAATCAATATTATGTTAGCTATAAGTGGCAGTGTATGGTTTTGTAAACTCACTAATGATGTGAAGTTATTATATAAGTTCTTATATGTTAGCTAACCTGCTTTGTTTTTATTTATAAATGGCAGTGTATGGTTTTGTTTATAAATGTCAATTTCATGTGTCAGTATGTGTTTCTGAATGTTCCCTTTGTGAAGTTTCTAAATGGCAGTCACTTGTCATGATGATGAAGAGTTTGTTGTGGCCTGCTCCTATTTATGTCTTTCATCTTTAAGTAGTTACCATTTTTCTCTCGTTTGATGCTATGGAATATGATTTTCAAAAGCATACTTTTAAGGGATGTAAAAATGTGTATAGTATAAGGGTGTAATAATATGAGTGAGATATAAGGGATGTAATAATCTGTATTGATTTTCAAAAGCATACTTTTACCTTTCCAAACTCCATAGGATCAGGATTGCTTGCACTAAATACCCTTTGGGTTATAATCAGTAACTACTTTTACCTTTGGGTTGAGGCTTAGTCAACTCCGCTGGGTTATAATCAGTAATTACACCCTCTTAGAAATTTTTGTTATCAGTCAATGAGGATTTGCATCAGTAATTAGCATCAGTATATACTGATTATAATAATTTACTGATATATACTGATTATAGAATGATGTATTGTCATCAGGCAAAGAGGATTTGCATCAGTCATCAGCCTCTTATAATCAATAAATACAGCCTCTTAGGAATTATTGCCATAACTAATTCCTCCCTGTCAAAGGCCCTCTCTGTAAAAGTAGGGGGGTAATTTTTGCTTTTTTTTTTCTAGAACCTGAAATTGAATGATTGGGTACAAAGGATCATGAAAACCTTCACATAACATCATCACAATTGACTCTACCAAGAAGTTCCCTGTGTTCTTCATTTGACAATCTTAGTTCTTTTCTTAGTTCAGTTAGCAGACTTTCCTTTACCCAAAGTCATGGCATCAGCCTGAGCCTCAACATAAGGGCTCTATTTTAACACCTGCTATGTAACACTCCAGCATTAACCAAAATCAAAATGAACTCAATTCATTGAACAACAAAATCACTAAAAGATTGCAAGGTACAATCGAGGAGTTAAATTCAGCATTGCATAACCATTTCACAAGGGAAAACATAATAGTAAGTTTACAAGGTCATAACTAAACCATTTTACAACAAACTGACTAAGAGATTACAAGGTTATAGCCAAACCATTTTATAAGTAATTGAAACTAACATAAAAACACACATAATACTAAAACAAAGGCAAACAACAACACTACAATTAGATAACTATTCTTCTTCATTTTTGATTTTCCTTCCAGTTGGAAATGGGCTGCATTCTTCCTACTGTTAGCTTCTTCAACTTCACTCTCCAATTTTTGAGCAACACTATCACATTCCTGTTCAAACAATAGAAATTGCAGTCTTCTATTCTCCCGTTTGAGCTCATTGATAATATGTCTTGCTCTGTCAGTTAATGGTTCATCATGCCATTCAAAGAAGCCACATCCATCCTTCTGGGTATACATGAAACACAAGAACATGAACATCAATATATATATGGAATTTACATATCTATGGCCCCTCCTCTTCTCATTTGTAGAAGAATATTTAAAAAAATACCTCATAATAAGGACATCCATGGAATCGTCTCCCTGGATTCTTTTCAGTCCATGAAGTCCAAAGTGGCGCTTTGACGCGAGTTCCATTTTCATTTGTGCAGTTGCAGAACCTTGAACGCCCAGGACGTTGCTCAACGATGCTGCGAAGCTTAACTGAAACAGTGGAGTCACATTTGCGTACCTCAGATGAGCTCGCTGCTGAACGAATCTCCCGCATCAGTCCTTTCTTCTTCGTATATGTCCGCAAGATGGGGATAAGCAGGTAGAAATTCAATTAGGGTTGTTAGATATAAGGGATTGCATTTATTGGGACTTTATTTTCTGAAGGAAACGAGTCCGGTAACGGGGAAGAAGGGGAGTTTAACGGAAGGATTACCGGGTGGGTAAAAATGAAGCAAAAACATCAACTTTGTGTATTTTTGGTCCACTTAAAACCTTGATGTCCAATGTGATCTTTATTAAAAACCTGAGTGTCCTATTTGGTCCTATGTGATCATTATCAACTTCAACACATTTTAAAATGGTATAAGTTTGGAATGACATAATACTTATCTCCATCACATAGTGTTTTCAACTTTTTTTTTTATACAAATAGAAGATAAAAATAATAGGATCTTTATGATTTTCTTTATTGTTGTTTTTTCACTTTGTTGATATGAGTGGTTTATGGTGATATTTTCATGTCACGTTCATTTCACACCAGAGCATGGGGGATATTAAAAACTATGATGAATTGCATTTTCATTACAAAATGTATGACAAAAAATTTCAAGTGAAGTGTGTGTATCAATCTGCCTTGCTTATTAGTATGTATAACAATGTTTTTATACTATTATTTTGGAGCTTCATGTATATAATCAAGAATATATGAATCCAGTTTCAAGTTGTTTTTAGTCCAGTTTGTGGCGTTTTTATACACAATGTTCATTAGTTTTTTACCATCAGTTAGACAAACAGGCTGGTACAGTAGTGTTTTGAGTCAACAAGCTGTTAAATAACGTAGTATAGGTTCACAAACATATTACTATCGTATATTGCAAATCGTAGCATCAGTTTAGTGATCTTATAAATCAAATTTAAGCTTCGTTGTTTGATGATACATGGGAACAAATTAAAGATCTTTTTAGGAAAAGCACTCACTAAAATAGTGAGTTTCATCTTTGATTAGGATGTACCTTACATACCTGCTAGGCTGCTAAAGATAGAATATGAGGAAATATTATTTTCTTACCACATCAAAGATATTTGTACGAAAATCTTTTATGATTAAACATTTTCAAGACATTTTTTAAACAATTATGTTGGATACAAATAATTTGAATTAATATAACATGAGATTTTTCATCAAGTGAACGTGTAGTTCATTTTATCCTAAAATTCATTATCAAAGCCGTTAAAAAGGTTACTTCGAAGTTTTAGATTTTTTCTTAAAAATCCTTAAAAAGGTTACTTCGTATTAGATTTTTTCTTCGAAGTTTTGCCTGTTCGATCAACATCAATTAATTTTCTTTGTTTAAAAAAAAATATAGGTGTAATTTCAAAGAAACTAATACTATGGTTATAAAATTATACGGAGTAACATTTTTAAAATCATTAGATTAATGAATCTATAGAGCTGATTTTTTTAATACATGGACTATTTACACAATTGAATATATATTTAGGTCCTATATTTATAGTTTTTCATAATTCGGATCCTATATTGATATATTTCACCTTTCAGATCCCGAATTGATAATTCATCTATCTTTTAGGTCCTGAATTGATAAAATTTCATATGAAAAATACTTGATTAACTTTTCTAAATGGATTGTAAGCATTGAAGATGGTACTATTGGAGGATTGAATGATTATTTTGTAGAGATTGAGATACCTAATGAAAAAAATGTCACTAGCATTATAACCATATAAATTCTCCGTCCATCCCATAAAATAGTTCCCACATTGACTTGAATCGAAGTTTAAGAAAATGGGAATAAAGCGGTAATGTATGGTTGTGGTTGAATAAGAAAAAAGTAAATGAATGATAGCTACTCACATAAAACTTTTCAATAAGGGTAATGAGAACTATTTATTGGGACAATCCAAAAAGGAAATAGAGAACTTTTTTTGGGACAGAGGGAGTAATTGATTTATATTAATATTATTGAATTTTCCCGTGCCGTATCTTCCCGTGCATCGCACGGGTACTATACTAGTATTACCAAAAAAATGAAATGTATCACCGTATGTAGGAGTCAAGGTTGTTAAAATCTTGATTTAAATCGTAAAATCGTACGATTTTACGATTCTACAAAATAAATCGATTCGAATCGCAGGTAAAATCGTAAAATCATAAAATCGTACAAAATCGTACAAAAATCGTGTAGAATCGTATAAAATCGTATCAAAATCGTAGCAAAATCGGAATAAGTTTTTTTTAGTGAAAATGGTTCAAATTTATTAAAATTAACTACTACAAATTGATACAAAATTTCAATAATAATAACATCAATGGTATATTTAAAAAAAGTAATGGATTCTTGTGTTATTTAATTATTTTTATGTTTTACATATGTCTAATGTTATTATCCACTCTATTTACAATATAAAAATAGTTTATAAATCTTGTTTTTGACCTTGTAGGTATAGTGGTATGTAATAAAATGACATAATACCATTAACTTGCAACTTAATTTTAATATTTATTTATTTTATAATTATTAAAATATGTTTGATAAAATCTTACGATTTGCGATTCGATTTTACGATTCGATTTTCAAAAACATCTACCGATTCGATTCAAAAATACGATTTTAACAACCTTGGTAGGAATATGTGTCATTGTATATAGGAGTATATAGGACTATAGGAATATACGAGACACATGGAGTAAATAACAACGGTATGTGTGACACAAATCATACATACAAGTTAAATGCAAACTAACTTCATATCATGGCTTCTCAAGGACACTACATAAGTATTGATCTTACAAGAGAGATCAAAGTATCTAGATCCTCTGCAATGGTGAGATTATTCCTTTACTGTAAGAGTAAGTTGAAAGAATGTTCAAATTTCAAAGTGTACATTATAGATAAACATATTCTCTATAATAAAAGTTACACCTCAATCATGAAGCCTCTCAGAACCGACGGAACAGTTATCTCTCCAATTTTATGGCCCCTAGACTTGCTCCAATTTTAAATGAAACCCGCCGATACTTTTTGGGATATTCAAAGAATGACTCATTCATATACTCTGTTGTGGCAAGTCTTATCGCAAGGGTAAGCGCAGTCATTATGTTGGAATTGGAAAGAACTCCGGTTATAGTACCAGTCTCCAACTGCTTGAGCAATCGTCTGCCGCACAATATGAGTGAGTTAGTACATCGCTTAAATAGAGCATATACTAAGCTCTAAAATATTTAGAACCACAAGGTATTGTTGGATCCCTTGGAACACAACTCGAGCCAAATTTACCGCAATCAGCTACTCAAACCATAGATGACAAACAACAAACAACAACCAAACCAGGCAATTATCATAGGGCACATTAGCATCCCCGCAAGGCGAACGTCCAAGGATGAGAGATGGGTCCCAGTCCCACCACAAGGGTGTATAAGGGACACGCCTTCACTGGTCATTTTTTACAAGAGACCGCTCACAAGACTTGAACCATTAACCTCTCGGTCACACAGCAACTGTGAAGCTGGTGCACCAAGGGTATGATACCATAGTAAATTAGTTCCAAGACACCTTGCAGCAATCCTCAAGGATTGAGATTTATACTTGTATTTTAGATACATATCTTGTGAAGATTCAATGTGGGGCACTTTAATATGTCTCACATCAGAATCATAAAGAATAAAAGATGAGTTCACAAGATATTAGAATTGTACTAACTAATAATATTCCTTTTTTAGTCATCTCAGTTACCATTTTGACAAGAAAAGAATGTGGTGTAAATGTGTGATGAATGGTCAGGTACGCGTTTACCTTGCCATCCAACATTGGAGAGACAGGAGGCGTAGTGGTGAGCCATGTCTCCTGGACTTCAGTTTGACAGTGAGCATAGCAAGAGTTAATGAAGTATCCTCTTGTTGGATTCATGCCCTTTTCTTTTAATGCGTTCAGAAACTCCAACCTAAAACCTAAGCAACGAATGACAGGTCAATTGTGCAAATATTTTCACTCAATATACCAACATCACAATGCTAAGAGCCTAAGATATGCTACATATTTATATAATTGATAAATGTGTATCCATTTATATGGTATAGGGTTTGAGCATATGTATCACCCGGAAAAATAGTCAAATGTTTAGCTTGTCAAAGAGTAGTTTATAAAAATACAAGAGGTATGAAATATGACATAAGTGAAGGCCATCCAGTGCTTACCTTGCATTTTTGCAAGCTGAGGTCCAGAGCATTTTGTTATGTCAACCTTGCAGTTATGCCATGTCCCGTGTGGATCAGCGAACCCAGGAGCCAAAATGTTCTTTATCTGAAGTCCATCAAATTTCAATAGTACTCTCATTAAAAGCACCATTTAAAATATTACTGAAATAATACTGTCTCCTACTTTTAATCAAACGAGAGATATAGCAAAAAAAATCCAAAACGAGAGATTCAGACGCACTTACCTGCCAGGCATCATAAGCTGCATTGATTAGGAAGAGGGGTGTTTGGATATATTGTGCCATGTTTTGAGGGAAGAAACACTGCAACAACAATAGCAATAGGGTATTCATTGTCTAACTTTATTGGAGGAATAGCCCAAAACCTTAAGCGATGGTAGCTTGGTTGGCAACACTCCGGTGTGGAAAGACTCAAAACTACTGAGTACTAAGTTACTAACTGGGAGCAACGAAATCAAGAAATGGCTATTCTTACCAAACTTGGCTTCATCTTAGACTTGCAAGAAGCTGACAAATTCTTGGCTGATCCCTGAAAATGGACCCGCATTAAATTCCTCTAGAATTTCAATTATGCTTCTCGTCCCGACTTAAATTTGTCTATGCAAGGTTGAGTTTTGTAGAAATTTATAGGTTCAATTACTTTAATTAATTAATTCAATTATCTATTCAAGGTAAAGTTTCTCTCGAAAAAAACTTTCAGCTATGAAAAAAAATCAATTAAATGCCAAGGAGAATATACATGTGTTGCAACAACATCATCGAAGAACTGCTCAATGTGTGATTTATTAGAAACATCCAATCTGTCAAATGAAAAGGCACCAACATTGATTTGTAGCATCAACCAAATACCAATATAAAACACATGTGTATGTATGTATGATGAGAAATCTTACGCGTTAATGAAGTAACCTGCATCTGCAAAACATTTTACTTTCGCACTCGCCGGGACGAGAGCTTTGAATTCGTCACAATGCAATATGGAAGTCAATCCTCCCGCTGAACATCCAGACAAAACAGCCTATACAGTAAAGTCATAGTTTAGTTTATCTGGTATAAAGAAAAATATTCGCTACATTTTCATGATGAGAAAGAGAGGTGTTTTACATTTTCTGCATTCTTCATCCCTTTGGCAAGTAAATCCTCTATGACAGCTACAAAGACTCTTGCTCCTCTGAAGTGAAGATTGGTTTTCTGGTAATATATAAAACACACTGTCCATTAGCTTTATCATGTAGAGTTGTAAATAACAATTCCTCTTACCAATCTTGAAGTCTGTATCCTCACTTATCAGCTTACCAAAACTAACAATTGAAAGTATTTAACGAATATAACCATATAAACTAGCCAAGGCTTTATAAACCTGCAATGCAAATAATCTATAGAAACTACTATGCATACCGGATCCACTGCCTCAACATCACCAGTAAATGATGACCCGTCACAATACCTAACCTTGACTCGATTCCAATTGTAGAAGTCTGGAAGTTTAGAATATGATTAAAGGTTGTGTGAATGAGACCCCTGGACACTATTAGCATCCATTAGAAGAAGAAAAAGAAAAGTTACCTGGGTTTCTTACAGCGTTATTACCCAGAAGCCCTGAAAATGCAACCTGTTTTGCCATTTTCGTGGAAGATCCTAACCGAGTATACCTACGGGCAAGGCAACTTGAAGCATTATTGCACCATGCTCCTCCCTGAAACTCCAAATATAGAAGAAACACATACACCATTAAGATACTAAAATTGTTGAATATTCCATATCGAAACATTATAGACATATAAGTTAATAAGAAGTTGGTATTATGAGTTTTATAAAAAATGTCATATTAATAAGTGTGTACAACCTCAAAATGGATTAACCAATTATTAATTCCCGCTCCGGATCCTCGGTTCATATGGTACGCCGGTGGACTTCCATCCAAACAGACTGCATATGGTGAAATGGAAAAAGAATAAAATTTAGCCATGAACAATGAAAAAGAAGCTAAAGAAAAAGAATTCAAAAGTGTAAATAAGAAGAATAAAATTCACCTGCTCCTTTTGAAACAGCACTCTCAACATAAGTGATATCCACAAAGAAGCCTTCTGTTCTCAAAACAATAAGCATAAAACACGCCAATCCATACGCCCATGTTCGCACTCCCACATTTGCCATAATCCTGCGAATTTATAAAATAATTACTTCTACTGAATATTGAATAACCGATTTCAGTTGTAATTTATGAATAACTTAATGTGAAGAAAGAAAAGAGTGAAAACACAAAATGAAAGTACGAACCTTTGTTGGGTTCAGATTTCTTAGTTTTGTAGCTTTCCCAGATATGCAGGGTATGAAGCAGCTAGAACGAGAAGGATAGACTGACTTCAACCAGGTGTGTGCATTTATAGAAAACATATCGTGGCCCTGCGGCTAATGGCTACTTTATTGCGTGGCATTTACTTTATGCCAGAAATCCAAGAATATCACATCACTTTTATATTAAAATTCAAAAGTCATTATCATAATCACATCACTTATCTCTTAGTTTTTTTATAAATGTGTTTGTACTTCTTTTTCTTTTTGCTCATGACAATCCTAGCAAAAAACCACGATATCCTTGGTCTTCTTTTGCTCTTTTGGACATTGTAGTATTCGTCTATTGGACACCAACAAAATCACGCTCTTCACCCAAATTGAGTTCCAAAATTGTTATTTTTGGATCAAATAGATTAATTTAATTCACTTAAGTTGGATATCAATTCATAATTAAATTTTAATTTGGATTTTACAATCTTACAAAGATTTTAATCTAGTTTTTGAATATTTAAATTTTATTATTAAAAATGAATTAATTATCAAGACGGATGGTTTAATTTTAACATTCGTTGACAAAAAATGTTGAGTTTGCAAACAATTTGGGACGAAAGTAATAAAAGGAAAGAAGATAATTTCACCAAGAGAAGTAAAATACTTGGTTAGGCCAGTCACCACACTATTTGTAGTACAGAATAAGTGCAAAAATAGAAGTAGATTTTTAAAATATCTCAAACGGGCATCTATTTCGACAAAGATATCATACTGTTCCTATGGGGTTAGGCCAGTTACCACACTACTGCGGAGCTGCTGTAGAAGTTGGAGTTTGTCGCTGGCCGTCGCCGGAACTCCACCGCTGGTTGCTGCCCCCATGGGCGGAGCTGTGGGCCAACCTAGGCCATGACCCACCCCAAATTTAAAGAATGGTTTAATTTTTAAGATAAAAATTTCGTGTCATATTTTTCTTAAAAATATTCTTTGTACCGGCTCAGTCTGGCCCACTGCCCTGGCTTCGCTCCTGATGCCTGCCCCCATTGGAAATCAACCGCCGCGGCTGGTGAACAAGGATCAAGCATTTTATGGCCCAACGATGAAAAAACAAAAGGCACTTAATATGTTATACGGAGTACTACATACGCATAACATATTGAAAAGTGCTTAGATCAGGATTCCATCCTAAAATTTTCCTAATAGAAGAATTAGTCAAAGATTTTAGAGATATCCGGTGTGAGAAAACTCACATTCTCACAACCAAACACTTCGTCTAGATCGTGTCCTCATTCATTTTTCATTGATTCGTCATTGTCATTTTTTTATAACTGTTTCGTCATTTTTCATAGGAGCCCACACCATGGTTATGTAAAATTATAACCATAATTAATGGTTATAATTATGGGATCAATTTGGCTCTAAAATTATGTTAAGACCTGAGTATCATCCAGAAGATCAACCTCATCAGATAAGTAGCCCAAAATCTTAATATAATGTTTAAATGTTTTCGAGACGTCCAATGTTGGACAACAGAAGGCGTAAGTACAGAACAACAAATTTCAACATACTCCGTATAAATTATGAAGTAACATATGTCTTTCAAATAACATCACAATTTACAATAAGACTTAAGCACAATTGCACGAGCACATATTATAAAAATGAAAGTGTGTCCTTTGCAAATTGTAAATTTAAAGTCTTAAAATAGACGGAGTATGAACTACGAGAAATGAAAAATTATACCTTTTACATATTATATAGTTTGGTACACTTTCTTTTTTGAGGTGTATTTAAAAACTTGTCACATTTTCCTTTTTGAATTACTGGAAGCATTGAACAAGGATGAACAGGGGCGGAGTCAGGACACTGGGCCGGACTGGGCCGGTACAAAGAATATTTTTGGAAAAAAATTTACACAGAATTTTTTACACTAAAAATATAGAGATTTTTAAAATTTGGGCTGGGCCAGGGCCAGGGGTGGCCACCCCCTAGCTCCGCCCCTGAGGATGAATCAAGTATCTGAATAGTCATATATGTGTACATTTATATACGAATACGCACTACTCCGTATTATATAGACTAGACGATAAACCCGTGCGTTGCACGGGAAATCTAGGAACCCTTTGGTGATCTATATATGTTTACGGTTTATCAAACTTATCAACCATTTTAGTTTTTTCTCATATTTCGTATAATTTTTTCTGAGACAAAGGGATTATAAATTTTTTAGATAACAAAAATAACGAATGTTAGCAAAGTTTCATGAGACAGAGTAAGTGTAAGTTTTATGATTTTTAATTTATGAATGCGACTTTTCTAATTTGTAGTTACTAACTGTCACTGAGAAGTTGTTGTGTTCGTCATATTTTTATGAGAAAAATAATCAAAATACCTAATCTCTGAAGAAGCGTGAGATAACACTCCAAACTTTCATATGTAATTTAAATACCGCAAACTTTATGTAAAATTTATTTTAGCAATATGGTCCTATATTATTCCTTTCAAAAATGTTATTTATGGTGTTAATTGCATAATTTAAAATAACAAATTAAAAATGTTGCAATTGTTCACTCTAGTGGGGGCATTATTATTTATTTTGCAATGGAAGTTTAGAATGTTAATTGTATTTTTTAGAATGCTAAAATATTTTAAATTTTGAAACTTACACAAAAAATTAACAATTTTGAAAGAAATAATACATGACTGGTGCTAAAAGAACTTTTTACATTAAGGTTGGGGTATTTAAATTATATATGCAAGTTTGGGGTGCTTAATTCACACTCCTTTTAAAGTTTGAGGTATTTTAATTACTTTACCTTATTCTTATTGCTTATTGTTTATTTTTATTTTATTCAGACCAGATCAAATAAGGGACAAATCAAGTTAGATCAAATCGGAAAAATTAAGTTCACATGAGAAAGATTTAGATGTATAGTTGTAGTTCTAACTATTATTATAGTTATAAATTTAATCACAATAATAGTGATGATAATAACAAAAATAACCGCAGCAATAATAAACATTTAATTACATTAGCAATATTTAGATCTAATAACAACATTATTTTACCGCAGAAATAATTATTTTAATGAATGTGATTGATGGATGGAGAAAATAATTCATATCCCTTATTTTAATGAGATTTATAGCGGAGGCAAAGGTAGCAACGTCGGTCAGTGGTGGAAGAGGCGACTCCGATGATGACATGCATTGGAGGCGGTGACAGGTGGTAGAGCCACCAGCGGTTGAGGCGAACAACGCGGAGGCAGAGGCGGACGACGCGGCGGCGGCGGCGGACGACACTGCGAAGGAAGTAGTGGATGATGGACCGGCGGCGGCAGAGTTGGTGTTTATTGGTCCGATGGTTGTGTCCGCGATTGTCTGTTGTACATGTACTGTTTGTTTTATATATTTTGATTTCAAATATTAATAACAAATGAGCTGCAAATTCCTTAAGGGCATTTATGTCAGGTCATCCTTTTTTACTCCCACAAAACTATATGGGAAGCTCAAGTCCTATTTGTGCACAATTCTTACTTTTTAGTCCTATATAGGTAATTATCTCCTAGTATTATGCATGTTTTCGTAACTGAAAGTGCATTGATGAAGTATTAAGATAGATATTTAATTGAGACAGCAATTTTTCACATGTTTTGACTCCAAATAGATCCCATCTGAAATCCCACCATAGGATCTTTATATAAAGATATAAAGATGTGTCATGTATGGAAAATCACAAAAAGTCTAACGTAACGGTCACAACTTAAGTTTATAATTAACAACTTACTTAATGAAAAGTATTAATAGGAATGAATAGCTTTAATGAAAACAAGGTGTAAAAAAGAAAGTTGTAATTCCAAAAGTGAAGAGCAAATTATGGAGTAATATTGAATGTCTCGTGCATGAGTAGATGTCGGCTTACTATTTACTTTTTAAATAAACAAACATAAAATATATATATATATATATATATATATATATATATATATATATATTACTACGTACTTTCGTCCTACTAACATTCAGTAATTGAGATATGAAGAGGTAACACATTTATTAAAAAATGGATATATGTGGTTGATATTAATTAAAGTAAGAATAAAGTAAGAATTATTTAGAACCACACAAAGTTTATCAAATTTGGTATGAGACAATCTTATTGGGACGAAACGAAAAGGAAAGATGAGACAATTTTAGCGGGTCAAAAGAAGTATTGTGTGTGTGATGTGGTTCCAATGAGAATAGTGTTTAACATGATAATGTGAGAACACTCACATTTAATCAATGTGGTGCACAACGAAGCTGCTCTGTTGCACATTCGTAACTTTGCTCAAATTAAGCCATATTAAATAAACACGACAACATTTTGGTATATATTATGAAAAACCGAAAAGTGTAATAGACGAGCTTTATTGTGCATCACGTTGGAGTAAATGTGGTGTTCTCATGTTCTCACGTTAAGTATTGTTCTCATTTGATCCAAATTATATGTGTATGTAAGTATGGGTCCCTATAAATGTTGGGCCCAGGCACAAGCCTAGTCCGCCCTTACCCAGATTCGGGCATGCCGGTGAACACCACTGGTCGGCCGCCAATCGCTGGAATATGCTATCGCCGAAAATCTAGAATTCATCAGCCATCAAACTTCCGATCATCGCCGCCGCCGCCACTGAACTACCTCCTACTATACCAACGGACTGATCTGGTTAAGTAAGGGAAATTTCCCGTGATATGACTAAAATATATTTAGTTTCCTTAAATATGACTATCTTTGTTTTAGACATAAAACAAGAACAAAAAAACATATTGCATTAAACATATTGCATTTAATCATATGACTAAAAAACAAAAACAAAAAACTCGCCATACTAAAATGTTGTACGGCAATAATACTCTTATTAAAATATGAGTATTTTGAACTTCTTTTATCCCATTAAACATATTGCATTTTATGTAGGCGTTATTGCACGACATTGTTGCACTTCATGATGGTGTTACTACACGACTTTAATTACGAAAATGTTAGGAATTTATTATTCTTTTTTTCTTTTTAGAT